GGCCGGCGAAGAATCGAACAATTCTAGCTGATTAAATTGCTTTTCAAATGCTCAGCCCAACGCTCCAAACGGTTTGACAATTTGTGGATAGGCTGCCCACTCTCGTCACGTATAGTTTCACTAACACCAGGTCTCCTGCTGCCCGTTTCCCGTATCAGACGGAATAATTTTCGATGGTTACCAAGGGCAGCGGCCACTTAAATGTCTGACGCACTGTGAGACCACCAAGATTCGCGGTCTCCCTTCAGGCTATCACGGAGTTTTGCCCGGAGCTCTTTGCGAGTTTCATTGTGTTCGCTTCCAGCCGGTATATGCCGGCGGGCGTCGACAAGTTCCAGAGACAGCGGAGAGACCTAATGTCCATATTTGCTATTAGACATATCGCATGAGGATTTGCCTGCTGCTATTAAGATCTGGCGAACATGTGACCAGTGACCATCAATTGTTACCAGTGAGCGGTTACACAACCTGCATGTCAGTGTATTTCGATCCGCATTCAGAACAGCTGGCTTCGCCAGTTGGCTGGTGTCAATGCGGGCACAACTTCGTCGCGGGCTTCCGCCATGGCGCATTCGCGGTTCAGCATATACAAGTGCATGGTCGGTGTTTACACATGTACTTCAAATCGAGCGACAGTTCTGGATGCAGCCTCTCCATCGGTGACTTATCGCAATGTGATTGATTTGCGCCCAAGGCTGGTTCGAGACTGGTGGCCGCCAGGTCACCTTCCGGCGGGTGCTGTGTCTGAAATTGGTGCTCACAAGAAATAAGCCAGCATCTTCACACAAATGAATTAACCGCTCACCGTTATCATTACGATAGCCTGCACCATATTGGCCACCCAGATGCAGTTCATCAGTTCCTAGTTTTCTAACTTGAGCGTTTAGATCCCCAGCGAGCACGACAATGTCCGATTTTTTTTCTGTGGCGAAGGAACTCGTTCAGTTGACGATAGAAGTCGTCTTTTACCGAGTCATCGCTAGCGTTTGTGGGTGCATAGGCAGCGATAACGAATAGACACCTGTTAATCCCGTGCGGCTTCGAAGTTTTGAACGAGCCAGCCATTCGAACCGCGCAGGTCCGGCTACTGATTGAGATCCATTCAACCAGAGTGGCTTCAGCCCCCTGACTCAGGGTAATGCCATCTCCGATTTGGCCGGTACTCGAAGCTACATCGTCACCGAATAGGCGCAATGAGATAATACTGCTGGTGTCACCTGAAGGGGATCGCAGAGTGAGCACAGAGCTTGAGTCTTGCAGGCGGGTCTCCGATAACCAGCAGATATCGATCGAGAGGGTCTCTAATATTCGGTCAATTGCTCCCTGTTGACCGATCTGTAGTATTGTGCGTACATTGAGGCCTGCCAATCTGAAGGATGATCAAGGGCTCCAAATGGAAGTTGATGAACTGGGCTTGGCCGCTTGGTTGGACATGGGCTTGTCGACAGAATAGCAATGACGCTCCGCGTTCATTTGAGTTGAAACTAGAAGGTTAAAGCCTAGGAAAGCCAGGTGGGGAGGGCCAAGAATTGGGTGGTTGGAAACAGTGGGGGTAAAAGTGAAGCTGAAATGGGACGATAAGGGTGAAAAGGCACAAGAGGGGGAATTAGAAGATGGGAAGGCCTAAGCAGTAGCATCCAAACCCCTATCCACCCTGCTCAATGCAGCAGGTAGGGCACGGTTGATTATCCTCTACGGTGGCCAGAGAATCAAGACATTGTTAGAAGGAAATGTCATGGTGTATTGCGTGGGCAGGATATTGTCAGGTCGCTCAGGTCAAGAGAACAATTAGGGTTCTCAGCCAAAGCCTTTGGTTCAAAAACCTTACCGCCAGGCAGCGGGTTTGGCGTTGGGCTACAAGGAGTTGGTTTTAAGGAATAAGGAGCCACCCTCATTCCAACCCCCAACCTGGAGTACCAGGAGGCTGAGTTTGTCTGTCCTCTAACCATTGACCAATCTGGTATGAGTGGCTCTGATGATACAAAAAAGCACCACCCAGCATAGCTCAATGGATCGCTGAGGCACACAAACCATCGCACCACGGTAAGGTCCAGCCTCATTGCGATGGCGTGCATATAGAACGAAGCATGTGTTCTACTGGGGCTGTGCAACAAGTGGTCTATCGATGCTGCGCAACCACTCGTCCATGTGACTAGTGAACTACTCAACCGCATCGAGGGGAGTTACCAAAGCAAGCATAATGCGATGCCAATACATTAGAATGCTGACTTTCCAACTGGGTGCTTAGTGTTTGTTGACTATACTTGTATCATTTTGTCCATGTCTATTCAAACCGATTGTCACTTTGTTGATGAGACGATTAAGTTGAACTTGCCATTGTACGAAAATGTGGCATTAATATGTGAACGCATTTTGTACGTTGTGGGGCATCTACCGTATCTGAGTAAGGATAATAGAAAACCGCAAATAACCTACCAATCTTTTATATCAAGTCGTCAAGTTAAAACGAAAGTAGAATTTATGCACCCGGCTAGGTGCATTTTCAGCTTGTTACGCTACCACTGCGGATGATGAGGTATATACAATTACTAGTAAAACAATAACAATGTCTACACATTATCACTCGCGTAAATATTTTCGCGTCATATTGGTAGTTTTGATTTAGTCAGCAGTCAAACGGGATGGGTACGGTAGCACAGAATTGCAGTAAGATGCAGTACGAGCAAATGGGACTTTAAATTTTGTATGGGTAAGGGAAATAGGTAGTGATTTTGGTAAGTCACAATGCAGTGGGTGAAGAGGGTCGTTTAGAATTTTGGAGAGAAAACTGGTACAAACATCTAGGTGCCTCTTAACAATAAGTTCCGCAAGGGACTCTAGACAATCCGCTGCGCTTGGAAATAAGCTTTATGGACCGTACAATCGATGTGTAGTCAATTTTGTGTAATCAAGGGAGTTGTACAGGGGAACAGTGCTGCAGAATGCATGCAATCACAAATCTAAGAATCAGATAAAGGGGTCTTGAAAGTACTTTATGTCGCAGATGTTTCAGCAACGTGAATAGATGAAGACAAGTTTCGGGATAAAACGACCCCTAGATATCTTCTACTTGACGATCTGACTATGAACTGATCACTCACTGCCAGTGGAGAAGTGGTATCCAAAACAACTCATAGCTTGTCTGCCCGAAGAAAGGAGAATGTTACGTCACGACGTTTAGAAGTGCACAAAATTTGGGATCTGGACGATGACCAAAGCGCACGTTCATCTGGGCAATTTCGTAATGTAGATGTCCCAACGGTTGGAGTCATGCATCCCTAAACGACGTTGTCAGCATAATTGCCTTCAATAAGGGTAGGTGGTATGTGGGGCTTTTCAATATATGAAGAAAATAGAACTGGTGAGAGGATGGCATCTTCTAAAACCTCATGGATAAAGAGAAACTCATTAACCGCACCATTAATTTGAGTGAATTGAGTACGGTTTGTGAATTAGTCTTTAACCACGCAGCAAACACTTGTTGGGACCCCATTCGCAAACAACCTC